GATAGAAACATCAATGATGAGAGAGAATTATTGATCAGCTTCCAATCCCACTGGGGATTGAGCCCGCAACCCAGGCATGTGCCCTGACCAGGAATCGAACTGTGACCTCCTGGTTCTTAGGTTGACACTCAACCACTGAGCCATGCCGGTTGAGCAAACATGTGTCTCTTTTTAAAGCAAGTAACTTGTATGTAGCCAGCCCACAAAAAAAATATGGGAGGAAAAGAAGCCAAAGATTATGTATATTTATATATTTTTTCTATCAAGGTGATGTATACTTACATGTTTTTTATTATCATTACATTAATTTGCACACTTTTTGCCTTGGGCTTGCTTTTCTAAAAATATTGATGCAACTTATAAATTGAAAGCCCCTTAGGATGTCAGCCTGAACTTTTCATGGCCTGCCCCCAAATCTCTCCTTCCAGACTTCACACACACACACACACACACACACACACACACACACACACACACACACACACACACAATTTCCATGGTCACTTAGGTTTTAGACAAACAGAGCTATTTATCTTTCTCCCCCATTAGACCCTGTACTTTGATTCCTTCCCCGTCTCAGCATATCCAAATCCTGCTTCTCTTTGAAAGCCTAGCTCAGCATAAATAATCTCTGTTCCATTGTATTTCATCTGGATGTCTTGGCAAGGCAGTCGTTATTATAATCCATATTATAGAATATGTATCTTAAATGTAAGAAGTATATCTTGTTAAAACTTTGTATTGCTTACAGACCTGTTTAACATAGTGCCTTAAGAAAATAAAAAGAAAAAAACAAAAGAACAACAACAACAAAAAAAAACATAGTGCCTTATACTTAATAACAATATGGTGAATGAATGAAAGAAAGAATTTTGCCTACATGACCTTAATGTGGAGATAGGCCAAATACAGGGTGTCTCCCCTCCAAAATTAAATGTTTCATTTTCAAAATATAATAAGATCTGCAGCTATCAGCTGTTAAAGTATATATACATTTTTTTTGGATATCCTGTATGTGGGAGGGAGGGGGAGATGGTTCTCACTAAGATTTAGTAGTGCATAATCCTCCCATAAATCATAGAATCATCTGTGTATGTGAGTAAATGTGCCAGTCTGAGCAGGTGTATTTCAATCTATACTTTTTATGTAGTTACATAAAAAATCTTAGTGCCTACTCCTTTTAAAAAAACACACATATATTTTATTGATTTCAGAGAGGAAGGGAGAGGGAGAGATAGAAACATCAATGATGAGAGATAATCATTGATAGGCTGCCTCCTGCACGCCCCCTATTGGGGCGTGGGCCCTGACCAGGAATCGAACTGTGACCTCCTGGTTCATAGGTCATTACTCAACCACTGAGCCACGCTGGCCGGGCAATACTCACTGCTTTATACCAATGTAGTAATGAAGTCTTTTGCTTGTACCAAATGTTAACATTAGGAAACAAAGAAAAATACATCCCCTGAAAGCTTTGGACAGACATTCTTAAGTAATTTAAACTAATTTTTTAATGTAGGCTATTTTTTGAAAAATTCAGGTAAACATCACTAGGATAATTTTCTGAGTATACCATGCAGCTACTCATTTATATCAGTAAATATACCTGTAAGATAATCTATATATATGAAAGCCTAAGCAAGCGTTACAACTGGTTGACCAAACGACTGGTTGACTGGTCACTATGATGCGCACTGACCACCAGGGGGGCAGACGCTCAACGCAGGAGCTTCCGCCTGGTGGTCAGTGCTCTCCCACAGCCAACCTCCCTTGGCCGGCCAACTCCCGTGGTCCCTCCCACGGGCCTGCCAGCCCTGATCGGCCCCTATCAGGACTGGGCGAGACAGCCACGATCGCTGGCCAGGCCGAGGGACCCCACCTGTGCATGAATTCGTGCACCGGGCCTCTAGTATCAAATAATATCGCTATAGAGTTTTGAATAAACCTGTGTATCTTTGAAATCAACATCTTTAGAAATCACTGCTTTTTGAATATGCAAGTAGACTAATAGGAAGTAGACTAAATGTTTAATTTTCTTGGTTTTATCTGTGCAAATGCAATATTGTAAAGATCAGCCAGAATGAATGTATGTTAGGTTTTCTTAGTCATCTTTAGTGTTGATTCAGATCAGGCTCCAATCTACCAAAGTCCTCTGGTTCTTGTCAGGAAAGCCTTGCTCCTTCCCCAACCTTTTCCTTATGGTCTTATAACAGGAATCTGCTTTCTTTCTTCACAAATGATGGAAATGTTTAGCCTCTTATTTATTTTCCATAAAATTGTATTGTAATCAAATTGCAACGTCTTTGGACAATTCACAGTAGCTTGCCCTTCAAATGTGAAGCATGGTGACTTTATGTGCCACCAAGCAGGTATATTTTTGTCCAAGAATATGGGAGAAGAGATCTGAGGAGGAAACAAAAAGTATGATGAAACGCATACTCCTGCAGTGTGCTTCTTAACGTTCTGATAATCTCTGACACATTTCATACATATTTACTTAAGTTCTATTTCTGAGGCCTGTTCTAAAATATTTGAGTAAGCCCAGCCGGTATGGCTCAGCGGTTGAGCGTCGACCTATGAACCAGGAAGCTGCTGATTAATGATTCTCTCTCCCTCTACCTTCCTCTCTCTGAAATTTAAAAAAATATTTGAGTAAAATGCCCAATATCTGAGAAGTACTTAGTGACGTTGTATGTGTACTGCGGGGAGGTTGGAGCAGTGTTACCATATAACCCAAGGCGGATATAATTATGATTCTTATATTTCTCACACCTGTCACCTCCACCCTGTGTGTTCTCTGGAGCAAGCAGCTGCTTTCTCACCTGTTACTTCACTGTAGTGGCACTTGGGTATCCGCTGCTCCTGTGTCTATAACTGAATGGTTGTGTGTTGTGCAGAAGCAGGGACACCAATGCCTGTGGACCTGGTTCTTCCAGGCCCGGTGATGTTGCATAAGCCAGTCTACAAGTTGTTAGCCTCGCAGAACTCGGGCTCCTCTGAAGCAGGCATGATCCTGTTCTCCTATCCATTCTCTGAAACCTGAGGATGTGATTTGCTTGAGGCAGGATGTCTTCCTCAGTACAGATACACTGCAGTAAAATGTTTCATTTTCTTGGAGAAAATACAACCGGTGACATATCTCCTCTGTTGCTTTTCAAAGTAATGAGTTCTTGAATCACGCATATGCTGCTTACTATGCATCTGTCACCTAAGGCCGCGGTAGGAGCAGAATGCCGTTGTCAGGAGATGAATTTACTAGCGGAGATGTTTGTGAGGGTGCTATGGCAGTGAAGAATGGATTACGTGCCTGTTTCTCTCATCTATTGAAAAATCACTATAAATATTTAGAGGACCTTCTTCAATGGGTTGAAATCCTGTAAAGTCCAGTTAAATGAAAAGGCTCGCTGTGTGAAGGTTGGTTACATTGCAGGTGATCGGGTCCTACTTCAACACGGCTCTTTGAAAGGAAGTCTATTGTGAGTCCAGGTCTTTCATTCATGGAGAAAATTTTAATGTCGCATTTCTCTTTCCTGGACACTTCTGTATCCCTCTTGCAGTCTTTGGGAAACAGTTTAGCTGTTTCCCAATTTTTCTAATCTTGTCCTTTAGGTAGAGATAGCATGGGGCCTGATAGACTTACCTGGTCAGGCTCTCTTGTAGCAAAGATCTAAGACCTAGGGGATTTTTTCATAACCGTGTCCATTACACAGGTGAAATGTGTTAACATTGGTGATAACACACCCAGAATAGTAGAATATGAAATGGATAAAGATTTTCAGGAACAAGCCAGTATGGGACCTTGATTTGAGCGTCTGTAATTGTCTTTTTACATTGTGGGTCGACTATTAAATGACCTATACTTCCCTCCTCCAGGTCTACTTGTCATGCGCTATGAGAGCACCGTGCTGGTGCTGAATTTACTCTGACCCGTTTCATTCTGTCTGCAATAGGGTAGGGAATAAACAAACATTAAGCTGTGAGAAACACTAAAGCCTGCATAAACCATCCTTGTAGCAGCCTAAACCCAGTTGGTCTTATGCTTTTCAGTAGTTATCCTAACTTGAAGTAAATCTGTTGTAAAATTTTTGCCATGAACAATGAAGTTATTTGGAATATAGTACAATAAAGGAGAAAACATCTTGAATCAACTTTTCCAATTAAACATATTAGAATTATATGTAAAAGGTAAATTTGTGGGAAATAATCGTGTAATATTTGTTTCCTTTCTGCTAATAAAGTTTTGAAGATGTAAATGTGAATACAAATTAAATCGTAAGCAGAAAGGTTCTTACAAGAAAACTCTTTTATCACAAAGTTCAAATATTCTCTAGTCAGTTCTTGCTTTCCATTTTGGTTAAGGAATTCTGTTAATTTTCTTATAACTATCTATCTTATATAATAAAAGGCTAATATGCAAGTTGTCCCCTCAACCAGGAGTTTGACCATGGAGCAGGGCCGGCCAGCCAACCTCCTGCTTCCCCTCCCCCACCTGGGCCCTTATCAGTGTGGGCCCGCCGGACCCCACCTGTGCACAAATTCATGCACCGGGCCTCCAGTGTAATAATATTCAGAAAACCCGAAGCAAAAGTAAATTATGAGAATGAAATAAACTGTGCATATACATGCATGTTTGCAATCAGAGAAATGAAAATAATGAAAAATAAAACGGTTGTTTATCTTTGGGTAATACAATTCCAAGCAATTTCTTTTTCTGTAACTTCTGTGCTAAGCATGCATGACTTTTATAATTAGAAAAATTACACTGATAATGTGTTAATTACCAATGTAGTTTTATCTTAATCTTAATCTTCTAGATGGAAACTACTGATGTGCTTTGAGAAATTTTGTGTATAAATAACAATTTGATACCATGGTTTGCTTGTTTTTATATAATGCCTCAATATCTTAAAACCTTTAAATGATATAAGCTGCTGCTTGGTATCAAAGGAACCTGAGAAAAGAGAAATGAAAAATAGTCAGTTACTTTCCTTTTATTTTAGATGCCAGAATTCCAGAAGAATTCGGTTCGCATCAAGAACCCCACAAGAGTAGAAGAAATCATCTGTGGTCTCATCAAGGGGGGAGCTGTCAAACTTCAGGCGAGTAGCCATCACGAAGCCTGTATTGCTAGGCCTTTATTTCTATGGTCAAGTAGACATATTCATCTCATGTTTTGCCGAAATCTCAGCAAAGAAAGTTCAGATAGATGAGCTTTGCCTATCCTTCAGAATGTAAAATCTGAAAGATAGGTCTAGTGCTTGTCAGAAATTCATAGAATGCCCTGCTGTAAACGAACAAAACCTAATAGTCTTGAAATAAATTTAGCTCTTCTTTAATTTTAAGTACTAATTTAACTAATACTGTGCATAAGTATTCAACTATTTTAAGAATAATGTTAAATATGTACAGTTTCAAGTTGCTATTTCATCTTTTAATTAAATAAATCATAATAGTTAAATGAAGTTGTCACTATGTGGGATAACTGATTTTTAAAAAGTTTTTTTAAGGGATGTTTAAAAAAAAAATAAGGGATGTTTTAAATGTAAACTAAATCAACAGTCTGGATAGTCAGTGAAAATAAATCTTTTTTTTTTTTTGTAAAAATATTTAACCCAATCTCCTAAATTGCAAGAGCTGGCAAACTGTTACCAGGTATGATTCATTGATTGATATAGTTTATTTACCTATATAGACAAGTTACACCTAGAATGTAACAGTGTCAGTGACTAAGCTTCATATACTTTAAATGCTTTCATTGCATTTTTGTACATTGACCCAGGGGGTTGAAATTGTGCAGTGTTTTATCTCTATGGCCTGCAATTGCAAATTCCTATACTGATTAATCAGTGGATTTCATGTGGTATCGCTTGGGCACATAAGATATTGCTTGCAGTTAAGGTAATTCTCAGGGCTTTGTATATGAGCTGCATTAGAAAACTCAATGTAGAGGGAATAGCTTATAATGGGGGCTGGGCACTGAGCACAGTCTTGTGCCTCTGGCAAGCTTGCAGATACGCGTCTGGCCTTGCAGCTGTGTTTTCAGATTGGTTTTTCCCCTTTTCTTACAGATAATAACAGACTTTGATATGACACTGAGTAGATTTTCCTACAAAGGAAAAAGATGTCCAACATGTCATAGTAAGTGTGGCCCTATTAACAAATTCACGAAAGCAACCATTATTTTAAGATCCTTTTCTACTGATATTATGTATTAGAGTGGGTTGTTGTTGTTTTTTAAATCTTTATTGTTCAGATTATTACAGTTGTTCCTCTTTTTTCCCCCCCATAGCTCCCCTCC